ACAGCCATCGCGATTGCGCGAGCCCCTACCAGAAATTCGTTGCGCCGCCCTTGGGGGCAAAAAACGGTGAAAGCTAACGTACGAAATCAGAGGGCAGCACACGGTGCGATCGCGCGACCCTGCCCGTGAGCAATCTCCCAACTCATCTCTGGTCATACTCTCTCTGCTTCGGTATTAAATAAAACCAGGTGGTAGAGACGTACCCAAAGTCGGATTTATCCAATTCGGTGTTAAATAAATACCGACGGTGGAAACTTAGTAATATTTTCTAGTACACACTGCTGATTTGGCGCCAAAACAATGGTGTACCTTTTAGTTTAAAGCAGTTTAAAGTAATTGAAATGTTCTCTGCGCACGTTCAATTTTTCACTTTTGACACAAAATAAATTCTATTATTGAATCACTATTACTATAAAGTGAAATTGTAAGTATTATTGTATTCTGTTTAGAAACGTCTATCATATAGTATAGCAATCTGTTCAGTTTTATCTTAATTTTACCTGATATAGTAAAGATTTTGATTTTTTCTTTCTATTTTGTATTTAAATTTTGAAACAATCTACCATGTCACAAATACAGTTGTCAATATTGAATTGCTAGAGATGTTTCTTTTATCATCGATACTATGTCCTGAAAACCTTTTATTGCCTAGGCAACACAGCAATATATTGTGAGATAACTATTACACATATAGTAATATCTAAAATTTACTATGGAATCATTGAAGCCAATAGCATTTTATGGAGAAGAATCGAAGAAATGGGAATACAAACCATATTGGAAAACATTAAATGATAATATATCATCTGATACGGAGCCACAAACGATGCCACAATCTCTTACTGGGCCTACACAATTTTGGTCAGAATTTTGCAAACAAATAGATGCTTTAATCTGTGCAAAGGAACACAGTACTGTAGCAGATCTTCTGTGCACATTTGTCTATCAAAATAGTGATGGATATCGAAAATTTGTAGTAGCGCATCCAGAAGTTTACTGGTGGTATTACAAGAAGATGAAACCAGAAAGAAAATGTTCATATGAGGTATATATTTTAATTATGTACATGAAACATATATTAGGATCACTATTTTTCATTTGTAATGAGTAAATGGTAACAATGGAATATAAAAGTGGAGACTAAAATTCCTCACTTATTTTTTAATCAACATTTATCATTTTATACTAATATTAATGTAATCTTTTTTACCAAAAAGAGAGAGAAAGGAAGAGAGTATACACGTATATGTATGTAATGCAAGATTTCACAAACAATTACATTAAAAATGTATTTAGTTTTATTTCAAAACAAGTGATTCAAATATAAATATACTAATTATGTCCATATTGGTGATGAATTTTTACGTAATTTTCCTGCTAACAATTATAATTTGCCATTTTTAACTTTTATAATAATGTACCTATTTATGATTGTTTATTCATTTTCTGGTATATGACATATCAGATCTTGTCAAATCAATATCAAAAATATAAAATGAATGACTTCGCAAAGTAAAAGAAAAACATTTATCTGATGAATCCAAATCAAACTGTGCCTAATTGCAACTAGAACGTTTCAAGTGTACAATGAAAAATGATTTTTTTTATAAAATATGTACTAATGAGAACAATTTTATTCATATCTATCATTTTATTTGAGCTTACTTCAATTAATTTAAAAATTATTTGTAATATGTATCATGCTTCGTCAAATTGAATCATATAAATAAATCATTATGTATACGTGATGTCTCTACCTTGTGTTTCTGTATTAAAATAGACTTGTTATCATAAATGATATATAATTTGAATATAAATTTCAGGTGATTCCAGAAGGTCATCCATGTCGAGCATATTTTGACTTGGAATTCAATATTGACTTGAACCCAACCAGCAATGGTGAAAGAATGACAGCAACATTTATTGATATTTTTTGTGCTTATATGCTGAAATATTGGGGGTTGCCTTGTGATAAAACTAATGTTCTTAATCTAGATTCCACGACTGAACAAAAATTCAGCAGACATTTAATATTTGCTATAAAAGATATTGCTTTTAAAGATAATCTACATTTGGGAAGGTTTATTAAAAAGATACATCATGATATCATACAGTATGTGCAAGTTGGAACGCCTCACGTCATTCTCAATTCTTTTGAGAAATGTGAAATAGAGAAACTAATCATTGAAACGCCTTCAGGAAAAAAAACCTTTATCGATATAGGCGTATATACAAGAAATCGACACTTTCGGATTTATCAGTCTTCTAAATGGGGAAAACAATCCTACCTAACTCTTTCCTCAGATTGTGCTTACGTTCCAGACAAAGAGTCTAAAGATAAAGAGCTCAATATTTTCTTAAATTCCCTTATAAGTTATCTCCCCAATACAAAGGATCTAATATTACTGGAATTTAACAAAGGCGATAATTCTCAAACGAGAAAGTTTACCAAAGATCTTACTCAAAGGATAATATCTGATAATCCCACTACTACCTCGAAATATCCTATTCTGGATAACTACATTTTAAAATTAATATATCCTGGAAAAATAAGAGCATGCAAGTATATTAAGAAACCGAAGGCCATAATATATGAAATTTATGGATTCAGGTATGGTGCTTTCATTTTTTTTAATGATTATCATGTAATATTCAATCACTTTATAAGTAAACAATAAGGCTAAACAAAAATTGTAGTTTCATGTTATTTAGTTAAACTGAACGACGAAAATGTTGCACAGTAGCAAAAAAATTATATTGCAAATAATCAAATGTATGGCACTTTCAACATTTTTGATTCATTTTTTACTGACTCTATATAATGTATGATAATTTCACAAGTACTAATTATTGTTGAGAAAATTGAAGTAACAATGAGAACACATTTTTATTGCAATTTCCGAATTAGTCAGAAATAACAAGTAGTAATTTTATTCAATCTCTTGGGAACATATGTTTTAACTATATTCATTGCATTATAATAATATACACGTTCTTAATGCAAACATATGGGTACTCATAACATTTGGTTTTTTTCCGAATGCATATAGTTTTCCCATCAATACATTATTTATAATCACAATAATACCTATACCTGTAAAAACACGCTCTTTAAATATTAATTTTCACGGGCATTATTTTTTGTAGATACTGCAATAATATAAAGAGGCAACATAAAAGCAATAATATTTATTACGTTGTTGATTTGGAAACGATGGTACTTCTCCAAAAATGTCATGATGAAGATTGTGCAATGTTTAGCTCTGATCTTCAATGGCTACCGCCAGAAATAAGTTTCCAAATAGATGAAGAAAATGACTCATTCCTTTCTACTGTCACAGAAGATGTTGCTGAATTCGAAGAAGAAGCTATTAAACCGAATAACGAAAATAATAATAATGAAGTCAAAGAATCACAGCCGGGTTTGTAGATACAGTTGCACACAGATCCAAAATTATTGGCATAAATGAATTCCTATCTAAATATCTTTATTTGACTACACAAAAACTTCGTATTTATATATTTACACAGTACTATTACTGTAAGTACTATATTTCTAGCTGACTCCTCTCATTTTTTAATTGTTTTGGCATAAAATTCGCATAATACATTGTGATTATGTAGCGAACTTATGTGATGTTTATAATGCTTTAATGTTTTAATGTTTAATAGTAATCTAGACTCGCAAACTGTTTGTACATTTATATGTCATGATTAACATATTGTTTTAAATAAATACATTCGCGCCAATGTGTATTAAAAGTGAAAAAGGCAGTGTATTATTTTGTACAGAATCAATCAATTATCAGATCAAGTAAATTATTTATGCACTGTACAAATTAAAATATTACTTGGCTTTCATATATTACAATTTTGATTGTATGCATCTCAGTTATACTGACTATATTGCCATGACACTATATACCAAGAAATTATTGCACTCTCTGAATCAATGGAATTTCTTACTTAAAAATTTAAGATATCGTATTTTGTGACGTGAAATAGTGCCACCTACATTTGAATTTTAGTCACATCATTTCATACCACAGTATACCATATCTAAATGGTGATCGATACAACATGTAAAGAATCCGATGCAAAGTAATCGTTAAATCCGTGTTAAAAGTAAAAGAGGATAAAAAGGAGATTCTTTCCGCAGATTTGTAAAGCTGAATCACGGAAGAATATACGTTCAGTATGAACGTTTTAATACATTTTCAGCCACATTTGTTGTAGGGCTGAAACTTTTATAATACGCAATCATTGATCATTGTGAAGGACTAGAAAACTAAGTTCGCTCTGACATCAATCGGTTTGAATCCTTTGACACAATGCGACCCCATTAAGGGTCAAACAAACAGCCGCGATAGAAAGAAATATTGAAGAAAACCATCATCCTCCTCTATAACGGGATCATTTGGGCTATCTTTCTCCTTTTCAGCTGTACTCGTCTCATCGTCCTGACCAACTTTATCCATTTCTTTCTTACTTTCGTTCTCCGTTTTACCATTTTCTTCATTACTTTCTTTTTTACTATTTTCATCCTGTTTACAATTTTCATCCTGTTTACAATTTTCATCCTGTTTACTATTTTCATCCTGTTTACTATTTTCATCCTTTTCACTATTTTCATCTTTTTCAGAACTTCCATTTTCCTCCTCGTTCTTTTCAACATCTGTCTCCTTTTCCTGTGAGTCTTCATTTGTATTATCGAATGCATTCCGATTCTTCAAAGAATCTTTGGTATCAATAATCACATCATCTTCTGAAGGTAATACCAGATTTCCCTCAATTGCCTTGTAGTTTGAATATTCTGCTGCTGCTTTCCTCATACGGCATAGAAAATCTGGTACACCTGCGTACAAAATGTTTACCCATGTTAGTAGAAGATTTATTTGTATGCATATTTAAACAAGTGCACTTTATTCATTATTTGTTTCTTTCACCAAGTTTTTCAAGTTTGAATCAACACATACGTTACACAAGGTAATCAAAGATAACTTTAGCGATTATTCAAATCCAATTAAACACTATGTGTATCATAGACAGGACTTAAAACATTTATAGATAATAAGTTCCAATTCCAAATGGATTAATATATTTGTAGATATTCAAAATAGTATACTGTTTAAATATATTTGTGCTTTTGTCTTTTCATAATTGGTTAAAACATATTGTGTTGTAGATGTGTATAACATAATAAATTATGAAATATATTTTGAAGCTAATTATTCATAATCTGATTCTATTAAATAATTATGAACTGTAGGGTTTTATTTAGTTCTTAAGACCTACAGTCTTAGAATTCTCATTTATTTAAATAATAGCGATAAAATAAACAAGTAATATATAATATTTTATTCATATACATACCACTGCCGGTGACCCACGAAGCAAATGTCGATGGAATACTAACACCAGGATCATCAAAATAAGTTAATGCAAATTCCATGCCTGGCTCATGAAAATTGTCATATGGTTTTATTACCATATATGACCAATATGTTGTAACTCTGCACATAAATAAAACTATTGACAACATACAATCTTTTATAACATTTCAGTTAAACAGATGAAAGTTCTAAAGATGTTTACACACATAATACCTAAACTTTAATTCAATTTAAATTTTGTTTGTATTAAATATATAATTTAATATATTATAACTTTCAACAACCATGCAAACGCCTGCTTATTTCAATACTGAAAGTCACGTTTATTTTACAAAGAAACGTACAAACCTGTAAGTATCTGTTCTGTTTGGTGCCTTAGGATGATTTGTTCCTTTACTAACAATAACTATGATTCCTTTATCATGATCAACGATCCATTTTCGTTGATAAACATAATCTCGATTTGCAAACATTCTCTGGAATGATAATATTAATGAACAAAATTGATTAACGTACGATTTATATTAAAACATGAATATGTAACCCTTAAATAAAGAAATGCAAAAGATACAAGAGAAGGTTACTTGTAGAAAACAGTTTCCTTGGTAATTTAATACAATGGTACATAATAAGAAATAGAAAATAATTATTTAACTACATTTAAATGAAAACGCTTGCAATATATTATTGCAGTTCAACGTACTGCTTAACTAGTGTTGAAAAGAGCATTTATTCATTTAATTATAAGATCAAACTAACAAAAACGGTCAGTGTATGTAATCTAAACATTGAACAATTGGTTATTTAAATGAATGCATAATGTAATTTCATTATTTTTTTTAATGAATTGGATGACAAATAATGCAGTCACTATGTTTTAAACAAATGTAGGCTATCATTACACCAAATATAGATATTTACATGATTTTTAAAGAAACTTCTGCATTACCATGAAGGAATATGTCATAAAAACAGATATACATTGAATAAGTACATATTGCGGTTCACATCTCTGTGTACCAGTTATGTGCAATATTGTGGTTTAGAGGTTGCATCGCAATCATCATGTAAATGCAGTCATTGTTGTAAATTATAATACTTACGGGCCAAATTAATTCCCAGTAAATAATATTACTACAATTATCCTTTGCACAGTTTGACATTGGATCCGTGTCAATGATTTCTAATTCTTTAGCTGTTGTATCCCACTCTTTTCGGTATTTTAAGTCAATTTGCACCTGCAGAAATTCCTCAGCTGACACATCAGGATATGAAGCATGAACTTTATATGAGTATAATCCTCTCGAGTTCGGTTCTTCCCTTCGCCAAATCAACATGTCTTCCCTTTCGATGTATGGTTCCCAATTTTCACCTAATAATTTACAAATTATTATTGTTCACGTTTTTAACCCTTACTGCATACTCATGTTTTAACACTATCTTGCAACGTCAAGTTTGACGTACATACAGTCGATATAAGTTAACTTATGAATAGTTATAAATAAAATGAAAAATAAGAAAGTAAAATATTATAACATAATTAAAATAACTTACCATTTTCTGCTGATGCATATGCTGGTTTTGAACCATGACATTGGCAATAGTTTATTCCTGGCTGAATACTTTCAACGACTAATCGTAATCGACAATCTGTACAAATGACTGTAGATTCTCTTAGCTTATATATATTCTCTATTTCTGAACTGTAACTAAAACATAATCGTTAATTTTAAATATTATAAGAACAATTGTAATTTACCCAACTGTTTATCTTTAATCATTAGACAGGTTCCTTGATCAATTATAATTAAATGTGATTTTGTAACATTGTAAAGGCGATATAACAAAACTATCCAAATTCTAAATTAAAGGATTAGATCGCATTCCCAGACTGAAAACAAAGTTCATAACTTTTAAATATAAATAATAACTACTAAAAGTAATTTATGTACCTATACATTTCTTTATCCGATATCCTCTCTTGATCCCAATTATACATGGTTACTCCAACTGCGCTAATTAAAAATTCTTTAGTATTTTTACCAAGCCTACGTCTCCAAGTTTTCATAAATTCTTTGAGCGTTACTTCATCCCACAGTTTCGTGTACAAATGGAAGATCTGTATGCTCCGCCTAATCCTTTGCGCTGCAATGAACTCAAATTGTTTGGTACATGCCCTGGCCACCTGCGTACTCTGTTCTTGGAACCACATTCCAATCCATCTACCAAAACCCTCAAGTTTTCCATAACTTCTACATTGTTCGTTAAAAAGAGAACTTCTTGCACTGATACACGAAAAATTAGAGCCAACATGTCTCAGTACAATCCTTGATATGTACCGAGAATACATCATTGGGTTTCCACTAGACTGCACGAATTTCCCAATTTCAGCCGTGAATCCGAAGCATTCTGTTAATCTCGTATGTGATCTCAGCCTACAAAATTAAAGTGGTTTAATTTCAATAATGATCAGACAGAAATAAATAGTAATTCCGTACGGGCTCAGAACCTTTAATTGGCAAATGTTCCTCGGAATAATTAGTAATTTATGTCACAGTCAGAATTCACGTACATTTAATACACAAAATTAAGAAATTATAATATATTAGTACATACACGTTGCGGTATGGCTTATCAATATACCCGGGCCAATTCAAGTAAACCTGTGATTAGATCATCCATCTTACTTAAATCTACAAATTTTTGATACATCAAATTTCTGAAATCCGACTAACTGAATTTACTAATGTTCAAGTCCGATTCGTATGATGAACCGAAAGAGACATGCATAGATAAAACAGAATAGATGAGAGGACAATTCGAGGTTATGCCTCACGCTGCCGTTCGAACGAAGACATTCGATTTTCGATGGCGCTTATTGACTTCAAATCATTGGAGAATACGTAAGTCTATAGAGAAATGGATGGAGCATAAAGCGAAATTTTAGACGAGGAGGCCGAAGCTCGCGTATGCAATGGAACGGCCATTTTACGTTGCTACACACATGCGCAATCTCGTCTCCATAAAAAGCAGAGGCACTCAAGTGTCCGTAGGGCGCCTTTTTTGAAGTACGATAAGACACGAGCCAAAAGGGATAAAGAGAGTTAAATTGAATTGGACATTGACTTTAAGGACATCAACATCGCAAATATCGGCAACAGTTACCGAATACTTAAACCCGTTATATTCGCTTAAAACTGGTGAGAACGCTAGCAACGTAAGATGGCCGCCACCCGGTCTAGAGTTCAAAAGTTCTCGGTAACATAAAATTGAAGTAGATATCTGTAAAACATTCCATAAGATACTGAGAATACTAAGAATTTATGACAACCTTTATTTTTTTTTTATTTATACTTTAGGTTTCTTCATTTAAGGAACATTTACTTTAAATACACCTTAAAGTTCAAGCTGAGAAGTAATAAATATTAAGATATGTGAATTATAGTTATATTAATTTCCCGATATAAATAGTCATATGTAAATTCACGTAGAATTCCATATAGTCCGTGGAGTTCCATTCTATATCGGTAAGGAGGAGTACGTTATAAATACAACTTGTTATCGAGTCATCAACTGTAGGAAACGGCACGTCTTCGAAACGCTTACGCTGCGTCGAGAACATTCGACGGTGCATAAAGGTCCGTGCAGACCTGCAATGACGTCACGTAAGACCCGTGCAATCTTGCAACAGCTTCGGATAGCCGTAAAGGCTCGCGCCAGAGATGAGTTACACCGGGGCGCATCGCAGCGCATCGCACTGCAAAAATCCGCATCCCATTCCAAAAACGGGATCGATTTGATAGAATCAGGGTTGGGTAAGTATAATACGTCAAGTAATATACGTGGTTTTCTACGCGTATATTACAACGTATAAAACGTCCCTAGTTTTTACGCAGGAACGAAGTATATTGCCCCAAACTAAACGTGCAAAGCACACGCGCAATATCGTCAATAGCCAATGGGAGTCCACCTATTTACCTCTAAAAGAGATTCTCATTGGCCATTAAGGAGATTGCACTTTACGCCTCCACAAATCCGTACACATTCGAAATCAGCCTTGGAAATTTGAAATGTATGCATATACGTGCATTTGACGTTTGTTTATAACGGCTGATAACGGTTATTTGAAGTCGTAAGATTCGTAACCAATGTTTATATCAAAATGTATAAAGGTGGAAGATCAAAAAGTAAATTATGGAACGAAACAAATCGACAAGATGGATACTTATAACCCAGCGAATACCGTATGCCTTACGCTGTCTTGTCCGCCATATTTGATACGTTTTCTCCTGGTTTTCTACGTTTTCTACGGTAAACTACTTGATTTATGTAATATACGTCAAAAATCTCGAAAATCGTGAAATTACCCAACCCTGGATAGAATGATATGGACCATGGCATATTATAGATGAACTGCAATGTACGCGGCCCGTCCCGGCTGTAGTGTACGCGAGCCTTAACACGTCGTTTTACATCACACCCTGTCACACTTGTCACCGCGCTCCGCAACCGCGTCACGATCGACGAACCTCGAAGCGGTTTTTTAGTATCGCACCAAAGGAACCCAGAGTATACTGGCGGACATGAATACCGTCCCATGATACACTGCAGTCGCCTTATTAGTAGGAGAGGCATTCATGTCTGCCACTGTACAACACATGTCTAGGAATACTCCCAGAGTTCGAACAGATACTGATAAGATCGTGCGAGCAGCGATACGCAAGGCACTTTTTGGAGTTGGATCAAGGAGATTCTACGTATTTAACATGTCTAGGAAAAATAACAACCTTCGATTACAAAAGAAGCTTCGCAGTGGCATATTTTTTGTTAGTTATCTATCGACGTAACAAGGGAGCGGAGAGACAAATCTACTTTCCCCCTGATTAATTTGTCCCATCGTCACGAAATATTCAGAATCTGATGCACATTCGTAAAATTCACGTTATGATAAGCTAAAAAAATTATGCAAAGGAAGACATTTCTAAAGCGATTAATATCAATACAGGAGAGTATAAGAGAGATATATGTCAGCTGTGGCTTCTTCTTATTATGTATAATGACGCAAGATAAATATAAATGTTTCATACCGTAGCCACTTTCATGAGATAATTGAAACTGTATAAACATTGAGAACGACGCGATTTCAAGTCTGTACGCGCTTTACGAACGACGAGCATGGCGAGAATAATGCTATCGTTTCACCGAAATTTGATTGAGGCAGGAAATGCCATAAAATAGTTGGCTGGAAAAAATTAATAGGAAAATAAATAGAACAGAAGAAATTATCACTTATCGTAACAGCTTGTAAGCCTGTATCGAACAATCTGAGTTTCTACGTGATTGTGGATATTGACTTGGGAAGCAATACGCTTCTTTCCCTAGTAAAATTCTAGTTATTAAGGATATTTAATTACATTCTGTTGACCATTTTGGTGGTCAGTCATATTCCTTGGTCAAAATCAACATACCGTTAAGACCATCTTCCCAATTCGTTGAGTCTCTCATGCGGGAAATCATTTCTGTAATAACCTCCCTAAGTTAAAACGGAATTGTCCACCCTTAGCACGTGCACATCGGGTATTACCGACGTTCAACCGGTAAACATCCAATATATTTGTCCCGCATAGGACCCCTTGTTAATAGCTACAATTTTCGGACGATACAATAGCTATTGTGTTCAGCTTAGGCAGGACGAAGACGGTCGCCCGAGCGTCAGGCCCAGATTATTGTTTTATGACCCTCGGACTGCACGGGTCTTATCACGCTTCCGCCCCGGCCGTATTTGCATGGATTTCCCTTCTTGGGCCTTTTCCGTGACCAATTGTCGAGCGATCCTTACGGAGGGGCGACCAATAATATCATAGATTCCTTCCTCATTGCTCCCACCAAAACGCTCAGAAAAATTCGGCAATAGGGATGGAAGAGGAAGGAGGCAGTCGTTTCTCGACGACGAACTTGCTAGAAACATTTAAAACATAACACATACAGTCATTATAATCATACTTAATCATAAGGACCATTTATTGGAGCAAGACGAACTGTCGCACTTGGAATTACAGAGCTGACTGAATATAAAGGTATTATTTTAGACTACATCTGCTGGCCTTATGAGGATACCAAGTTCAGGTCGTAACAGACAAAGTGCAAACGGTAATAAATGAAGATAAAAGAATGTCAACTATGGATTCAACGCCCTGCCCAACGAACCGTAGGCGTCATATAAAATGTCCGGGCCATTTGTGAAATACCTGCCCATTATATACATTGCCCAAACAATTTGGGTATTCTATATAGTGCCCGGTCATTTTACAAAATACCCACGTTAAATATATTGGCCGTAACACATACACTAGGCAGGAATTAAAAACCTGAACGAGCGGTCGATGCACGGCAGGGGAACAAAGAGTCAGCGGTGGACTCCGGATTATACAGCGCACCAATCAGGAGCCGCGAAAGCTGGCAGGGAGAATGCGGCGCTGTGATTGGTGTGCCACTAGCAGCTCGATTCCTATATAAGCGAGCCCAACAGCGTTGCAAGTCATTATCGTTGAATCTTCTGTGGAGTCACCAAGTTTTCTTAAAGTATTTAACAATGTCTGGACGTGGAAAGGGGGGTAAAGTGAAGGGAAAGGCAAAGTCTCGTTCTAACCGAGCTGGACTTCAATTTCCTGTTGGACGTATTCATCGACTTTTGAGGAAGGGAAATTATGCCGAGCGCGTTGGAGCTGGAGCGCCTGTCTATTTGGCTGCAGTGATGGAATATCTGGCTGCAGAAGTTCTAGAATTGGCTGGCAACGCAGCACGTGATAATAAGAAAACACGTATCATCCCTCGTCATCTTCAACTTGCAATTCGTAATGACGAAGAGTTGAACAAACTACTGTCTGGTGTTACAATCGCACAAGGTGGAGTCCTTCCAAATATTCAAGCCGTTCTTCTGCCCAAAAAGACCGAAAAGAAAGCGTAAAAGCTTGAACTCAAACAAATGGCCCTTTTCAGGGCCTCACATATCTTTTACGATGGAATAGCTTCATAGCAATTTAATTTAATAATTTAATCTTTTGAATTATGAAAAGACTGAAATACATGCAATTCCTTCAATACTTTCAAACTTAAATACAATATTAATTTCATGTATTTAGCTCAATTCACTTAATTTATGAAATATAACTTATAAATTTATAAAAGTAAAAAAATATATTTTGCTAAATAATTCGATTCCTTACCGTTTGCACTGGAAATTTACTACCGTGTTGTGCATATCAATGAACATTTATAACTATCAATAAACTGGTACTGTACGTTGTTCCAGCGCAAATAAATGATTGCTTTTAAGAATTAAAATTACGTCTGTTCTAAAATACTTTGATGTTTGTTACTTTTGTTGATTACTTTTTGATTGTCGAAAAACGACTGCTTCTTTCCTCTTCCAACTCTATTGCCGAATTTTTTGAGCGTTTTGGTGGGAGCAATGAGGAAGGAATCTATGATATTATTGATCGCCTCTCCGTAAGGATCGCTCGACAATTGATCACAAAAAAGGCCCAAGAAGGGAAATTCATGCAAATACGGCCGGGGCGAAAGCGCGATAAGACCCGTGCAGTCCGGGGGTCATAAAACAATAATCTGGGCCTGACGCTCGGACGACCGTCTTCGTCCTGCCTAAGCTGAACACAATAGCTATTGTATCGTCCGAAGATTATAGCTATTAACAATGGGTCCTATGCGGGACAAATATGTTGGATGTTTACCGGTTGAACGTCGGTAATACCCGATGTGCACGTGCTAAGGGTGGACAATTCCGTTTGAACTTAGGGAGGTTATTACAGAAATGATTTCCTGCATGAGGGACTCAGCGAATTGGGAAGATGGTCTTAACAGATTTAAAACTTTTACCGTTGATTGTAGGTACTTTTAGTTTGCAACTTTTTTTTTATTTACTCGAGTTAATGAAAGCATACTTTTAGAAATTAGAAATGGTACATCACTTAATTTATTTATATATCCCGATAACTTCAGAGATTAAGTAACATGTCAACACAATTTAAAAAACGCACATTATCGCTTTATGTGCATGAATTACATCGCAAAACACAATAAAAATTGTATTGCTACATCATTAAATATTCTATTGACCATATTTATTCTTAATGGTAAATGAAATATGATTGATACTCAGGAGGTACATAACTAAACTGGATATTACGTAATACTATTTGATTTGTCAATTTGATAGCTCATAATCAGCTTTCAAATAATGTAAATTGAGCAAAAAAAAATAGAATCGCAGTTTTTATAAGGAGCATGTTATACTAATTGCAATTTCGAAAAATATTTAACTGAATTTTAATAACTAATTACGTTATAACTAGAAGAACACATACAAGCTTTTTACCTTCATACAATGACAAATTCCACATAATTGACGCAATATAAGAATAACTGTTGAATTCCTCAACTAATCTCGCATATTCAAAATATAATACATCATTATGTATACTAAAAAATATACCTTTTGTGTTTAAATTCCTATTAACTTTATTCATTAAATTATGGCAGTATTATTCAACTGAACACAATTTAACACCGAAACTACTAAAAACTAGAAAAATCATTTTCAATTAACATACAATATTTCGGTGTTACAAAAATGTAGAATCACATTTTACTTTCAATCTTAAATATCTAAAAGCAAGTTGATTACACGATATGCATTTGCGCCATTGAATGCAGTTTTCACTCTTAAAAATATACAATTAACGACTACGAAGTTATTACAGAAACATGTCTGTTGCATGTAATATCTTGAATTAAGTAAACGAAGAGTATTACTTTTTTTTGTATGGTCTGCAAGAAAAGATTGGTATCTCTCTTTGAAAAACTATTGCGAAATTGCTGAGTCATCACGTAAAAAGTTATTGATGGCCCTTAAAAGGGCCGTTTTGTCGCAGATGGGAGCGCTTAACCTCCAAAACCGTAAAGGGTACGTCCTTGACGTTTCAGAGCATAGACCACATCCATGGCGGTTACTGTCTTCCTCTTGGCATGTTCGGTGTAAGTAACAGCATCACGAATAACGTTCTCAAGGAAGACTTTAAGGACACCTCTAGTTTCTTCATATATCAAACCAGAGATACGTTTGACACCACCACGGCGAGCGAGACGGCGAATAGCTGGCTTCGTAATTCCCTGGATGTTATCACGAAGAACTTTTCTATGGCGCTTCGCTCCTCCTTTTCCCAATCCCTTTCCTCCCTTTCCACGACCGGTCATATTGACTTAATTGATCAAAGCACAAACGGATCTAATGAAGGAAGAACCTCAACTGACTTTATAACTCCGGAGCGTGCCTTTTATAGGGAGCAGCTAACTGTTATCCCCACCATCGTTCCCGCGGCCAATCAGCGTTGCGCACCCCCCACCCTTCTCGTTTCACTCACTTCCCTCCATTAGTAGTCACACTCCATCTTACTTTCCTCTTACATGCCCCTAAATGCACGCAGCGAACAGAAATTCAATACAAATAAATTCACAAAATATTGTAACGTGATGTCATACATTTCTTAGCGGTTGCGCGTCAAGATGTAATTGGAACTAATCGAATTTAAGTTACAATAAAATATTTTATCGTGAGATTTAAAGTACGCAAACGTGGATTATATAATGTAGTTTGAAACGTTAACTACGTCCTAGTTGCTATATCAAGACAGGCATTATACTGGCAAAACAAAATTAGTATTGTAGGGCCTTACGCCCTACCTCACCCCTGTCACACGATGGTTCGCGGATTTCAATTTTTAGTAAATTTGTACAGTTAATTATCATTAGTTTTGCATGTACCTTTATATTTGAATTTAGGTTAATCGCGAAACATTTTCGCTCCGCTTTTAATGCCGGATTTTGTATACCTCATCGTACACTCATTGTAAATACCGTTAGGAGCCGTCGGCAGATGTCCTTTTCCTTTGGCCCCCATGCTTCCATTTCCTATCCCTTTTCTAACAATTTTTCCTTAGTTTCGGGTTTTTCCCCGTCGGTCACCTCCGGACGCACCCGGTGCACCGTCATAAACGACGGGGACGGGACGCGGCCAAGCTGACCGACAAAAGTGACCATGCATGCTCATAAAGTGCTTTTCCTTCTTTTCCTTCGGGTCCCGGTTAAAATTTTTCTCCTGCTTTCCCGAGAGGTTCAGTCCGTGCTCATCGCTCGCCCGATCCTCATCGCCGACAGCTCCGAGTCCCGAAAAGTACAGTCTCATTTTTCGTATACAAGTCCTACGTTATCCTTCCACTCACGGACGTTACTATTTGGACGCCGACGTTCGATCTCCCGAACTCGATTTCCAAAGTATAAATTATGTTAACAAAGTAGAGAAAGTAAACTGTGAAGCTTTTCCCAGAGATATCTTTTGAAACAGTTTTAGTTAAAAATTTGCATTTTAAGAGATACTATACTGAACATAATAAAAATTTAAATCGTGCAAATCACATACTTATATATATATATCGTTTAGGATAATGTAAAAAGATAGCGATTTAGTGTTGGTTTAAAAAGAATTTGTAGTTACCCAGATATGGCCATAGCCTCGTTTTATTATGCTAATCAATATTCATTGTTGTCAGATATACGTAACTGTAATTTTTAAGTATTTCGGTATTTTTTACGAGCAGTGTATAACACGAATTTATTGAAGACGCATACTTTATCAATGTGAATTCGATTTATGTTCTTTCATACGGGCCATTTTATGTTAATGATATGAAACATTTTGAAAACACTCGTGAGCCTTAAAATCAAAATATCTAGATCAAATTTTTAATTAATCCATCAATTATTTCTGAATTTATTTCTCTTAATTTATATCTTACTCTACTTATATCTATAATTTTAAAATCATACTTAAGCATAAACTCAAAAGCATACGAAAAATGGGCATGAGTATTATGAATATTGACATACAGTACTCGAATTTTTTGAAAATTTTAAATAATTTCAACCATTTCTCCGGAATTTTATTGATATATGTAAACTAAGTACGTGATCAGTTATATCATTGAAAGACTGATTCGCGTATTTACGTTATGTGTGTACGTATTTATGAAACGATAGAATTTATAGCACACATTGTATTTTATGGATTTCAAATCGAAGGTATTAAGAAAACGGAAAAAATGTTTACCAAGATCAGATCTTCCCCAAAAAACTAACAAAACGCCCTTTGATCGAAAAACGCCCTCCTTTAATCGACAATAAGTAAAAAATTCCAATCTCGATCAGCGATTCAATTCAAAGTAATGATGTAGATAGACAAATACATAATTGCAGATTAGTGGTATAGATTTCACAATTCTCAACGAAATAAGGATTATGAGAACTTACGCTTTGCGTATTTTTTTTTTTTTTTATAGAAACTTAAGAATACACGGGAAAATTAGAATAGAACGTTTAAGAAAATGTTTGTAAAAGGTTCGAGACAGATAAATAATGTAATCTATGTTCTTTTTGGATTCAAGAACGAAGGTATTCCGAAAAGGAAAAACAAGTATACTAAAGTTAGGTTTTTATCTTTGGTTTACTACTTTCAACAGAATAGTAACGGCTATGAGAACCTGTTCATTGTATATTTCTTGAAATAGGGCATAATATCAGTATATTATAAAATCAAGCTAGAACATTTAAAGAAATGGTCAACATGGGTCAATGATCAAAGAAGGCCCAACATTTATTTGATACAACGAGGTTTAAATTAAATGTTAATATTGCGCTAGCAATTCCTTCGGAACAAATTTTGTGGTGGCCCTGAAAAGGGCCGTTCATAAAATGATGAAGTTGGTTTACTTGGAACTCGTGTACTTAGTCACTGCTTTAGTACCTTCACTAACTGCGTGCTTAGCGAGTTCACCAGGTAACAGTAGCCTTACGGCAGTCTGGATTTCCCTAGACGTAATTGTCGAGCGTTTATTGTAATGGGCCAGACGAGATGCTTCAGCGGCGATGCGCTCGAAAATATCGTTTACGAAGCTATTCATGATACTCATGGCCTTACTAGAAATTCCAGTATCGGGATGTACTTGTTTCAGCACTTTGTAAATATAAATGGCATAACTTTCTTTCCTTTTCCTCTTCTTCTTCTTGTCAGTTTTGCTAATATTTTTCTGAGCTTTTCCGGCTTTTTTAACAGCCTTTCCACTTGCTTTAGGTGGCATCTCGATCCGTGATCGCTCAAGAGTAGATAAAGGAAACCTCTGACGGGAAGATCGAGAACTCGAATAAAGGGGCACTGGTGGACGATTTGCTTATATATTGGCCGAAGGTATGAGCAGCGCACCAATGACGTGGCGTCTAGACACTTTCTGCAACGTGATTGGTGCGGACCTCCTAAAGTTTTTAATGCTTTCTCCCCTCCACTCGGATACCGTGCCTGGCTAGTAAATCAATACATTCTGGTTAGGTCTCCTAATCAGTTATGTACGAACGTTTGTTCATAGTGAAATGTATCTATTTTTGAAGACTACCATTTAAATATTAAGAGCGTCGTTTGTACAATTTATGATGAACCAAGTAGCGGATTCAAATAAATCCTTATCATTTCTAAATTCGGCCTTACGGTAATAGGAACGTTAAATATAGATTTAGGGAAACTCGTTTAGAATTTACTTGTATGGTTACGGCAGTGAAACACCTTGTTACATTTCGTTCCTCTTATTTAAGATATATATTTATCGTTAAGACTTGTGTTATAACTACTTGTTAGCAAGACTACCGTTGAATATATTCTGGAATGCAAAGGAGTTGCAAAGTGTCTTACTTCACTCAATTGTTTGGTTAAATATCTGTTAATTGTAACGATTCGCAATATACTCACAGATATTTTTTATAATTTCAATTATATTCTTCTTACAATTGGAGACACTTTTTTGGCCTTAAAAAGGATTGATTACTTATGGGTACCCCTAATATGTATTGCAATCGATTATTCATCAGTCTTAAATACAGGATTTGTCCGAAAAATAATGTCAGTGATTTAATTGTGAAGCGACTATACGTCGCAGCGCGCTCGGACCGGTTGGGATCGGAAGAGCGGGAAGTCAGCTTTCGAAGGCGCGGTCTCTCAGCCGTATTCGACCATCCGGAAAGTAAGGACAGGCTTTTCCGTGAAACGCGTTTTCGTCTCCCGTACAAACCGCAATGCATTACTCGTTGGAATAAAAGATTGCCATCAAGTTTTGTGGGAAATTCGGCAAGTCCGCAGTGGAAACTATTTCTATGATAAAGATGGCGTTTGGTAATGATTGTTTGTCGGAACGTCAAGTCTACCGGTAACACAAGGCCTTTTTAGAAGTCCCTGAAGAGAGCAGCGATGAAGCCCGCACTGGACGACCATCAATGACCACCATCGACGAAAATGTGACGCATGTGAGAGAATTTTTAAATTGTCGTTTGAGTGTTCGTTTAGTCGCACAGACATTAAACGTTCCAAAAAGTGCCGTTCGCGACATTGTGAGAAATAATTTGCAGATGTGAAAAGTGTGCGCGAAGCTGGTGCCCAAAGTGTTAACTCTTTGTGGCACGGTGGTATTAAAATCCCACCTTTTAATACATGAATATGCACGGTGGGATATTCAAAGGATTAACCTTTTGAGGCACGGAATTAAAAAAAAAATAAAAAGGTCCATGTTGCACAGAAATTTTATTTCTTTTTAAACCACCGTGCATATTCACGCATAAAAAAGGTGGAACACTTAATACCGTCGTGCCTCAAAGAGAGTTCATAGACGACCAAAAATCGCGCCGATTTAAAACATGTCAGGAATTTTGGGACTTGTGTGAAAGTGACCTCCACTTTTTAGACAATATTATCACAAGTGACAAGTTTTGGGTGTTAAATACGACCTCGAAACAAAAAAGCAAAATGCCGAGTGGCACACCTCAGCGTCCCCTCGCCCCAAGAAGGCCATGGTACAACCGTTAACGCCACATTCTACGTGAAGTGCTCAAGAGACTCAAACGAAGGGTTCATCGTGTTCAGCCCGACATCGCGGATGATTGGAAACTTTACCATGGCAACGTGCCAGCTCACACCGCCTACCTCGTGACCTGTTTCCTGGCCGATTCAAAGGTGTCAACGGTTCTCCAGCCGCCCTACAGTTCTGACGTGCTCCCCAGACTTTTTTTCGTTTCCGCGCTTGAAAACTCCCATGAAAGGACATCATTTCGGGACGGTTGATAACGTCAAAGCAGCTTACACCAAGGCTCTATAGGACATTCCGGAGGAGGCTTATCGTGCCGCCTTCAATGCCTGGAAATCTCGCTCGAAGCGGTGTATCGACGCAGGAGGAGCCGATTTTGAAACCTTTTAATGTGTTGTACCGATCTAATCTATACATTTTTTTAAATCAATTCAGACATTATTGTTTGGACAAACCCTGTACAAATACAGACACATATTCACTGTAATAAATCGAAATACATTTACCACCATTATTTTTTGTATATTGAATTACATCTCTAATAATGTCGAACAAAAGAACAGACGAACTGGCGCAGGCACACGAATAGTTAGAGTGAATCTGTCTCAGGACCTTGTAAGTTTTTCTTATAGTTCTCCTGTAAAACTTATGAAAAATTAGACGTTTCTGTTCTACAACGGAAACGTAATACATTTAAATTCTTGAAATACTTTATATCATTTTATGATGGGCCCTTGTCGACACTTAGCAGGGAATTAATCGGAACGCTTTTGACATCTGCAATCTCAGCCAAGCATGACTTTGTGTAGGAATGAAAAATATCGTATTTCCTCAGACTATATATTACCGTTTAATTTCAATATATTTTCTAGAAATTTCACATTTCTTCATATTGAGGTTCTACATTATACTTCGTAACTCCGTTCAAATCGCGTAGAAAAGGCAGAACACTTTTTTGGGAGTAACAGATAGGAAACTCGTGTGTATTCTTTGCCCTTTCTCGTGGCGCCACCTATCATGGGAACTACGTCTTTGGTTGATCGATAAGGCAAGACTACCTACCGCTATCATAATGGCAGGTTCACACGCGCGGAAATACGTAACGCCAGCAACCAATCATGGTACACTAATTTGGCTATAAAGCGAGTCATTGACGTAGAATATATGAGTACAAACGTCACATCACTCACTGATATTCTTGTGACTGTGGTAAGATTAAAGGTGGGTACACAAGGGACGATCCTTTCTTTCCTACTGTCATACAGCATGTCGTCATATTGCGTTGCGCAACTGTTTTGTAAAATCAAAGCAAAGAGAATATTCCTCATGTTCTGTCTCGATGTTCCTATCATCCGAAGCAGAACGTTTCGTCGTCAAGTATTTTACCAATAGTATAATTTTCTATTAAATTATCATTTTCTTCAGTACAATATATAACGAAAATGTGCCTGTACGGTCAAATATCCAACCAGTCCTGTAATCGGGGTAGGTTAAATTAGTTACGAGGAGTCTAAGGAACTGCTTTACGACCCTTGGGGATTAATTGACAATCGCAAGCCTTTTAGTGCCACGGAACAAGTTACATAATATAATAACTTTCATTATACTTAAGCATCTCGTATATCTCATTCAAATTCAAATTCTCCTCGTTAATTTTCTTTTCTATCTATTTTTAGGAGGAAATTGTACCTCTAGATAATAAATACATTAAGTGAGTTATTCAACTTTCATTGTACTTTATTTGTAATGCAGTTACGTAACTACTTTTTCGCATGTACAAACTATAATGAAACATAAACTCATGTTTCAATACAAACGTAACAGCAAATTCGTCAATAATGTTTGCAGTCTTCAACATTTATATAGACTTGTACTAGTAATTGTGCTATATTTATATAAAAATTAAATTGTAGCAATTGTGAAACGTACATGAATTTACATTTTTTTTTAAATGACCCGATAAAGTATATAGGGACGGTTCCTACCTGTATTATGGAATTGACATTTATCGTGTATCACGAATAATTCTGTAATATGCAAACTTTCTTAATATCCGCTGTTACTATAAAGATGTTCAGGAATACTATGTACAAATTTTCATTAAGGATTAACCCTTTGCGGTCGATTTTCCCAAGATCAAGAGAATTTTGGTGGCTGAGAGTAGACACACGACCGCAAAGGGTTAAGGATCCTGATATCATTAAGTTATTTATTAAAGTTTCTGAAAAGTCGATATTCAATTATCAAAAGTAACATTTCTAAACATTGCTTTGAGAATTCCAAACATAGTTGACTGTTTTGGGGCCCTAAAAAGGGCCGATAGGCAGGAATAGTGAATTACTTTGAGCTCGTATATTTGGTGACAGCTTTGGTCCCTTCACTCACGGCGTGCTTGGCAAGCTCACCAGGAAGCAAAAGTCGAACGGCTGTCTGGATCTCACGAGAAGTAATTGTCGAACGCTTGTTGTAATGGGCGAGACGTGACGCCTCTGCGGCAATGCGCTCAAAAATATCGTTCACAAAGCTGTTCATGATACTCATGGCCTTGCTTGAAACTCCTGTATCAGGATGAACCTGTTTCAAGACCTTGTAGATGTAGATGGCGTAACTCTCCTTCCTCTTCCTTTTTTTCTTCTTATCAGTCTTGCTGATATTCTTTTGGGCTTTTCCAGCCTTCTTCACAGCTTTTCCACTCGCTTTAGGTGGCATGATGCAAAATGGAAAGTTTCAACGATGCAGTTAGAGTTGTACACACGACGACTCTCGTGGCTGTACTGATGCGGAGCAAGGGTTTGACTCCGAATTTATTGGGAACGGAGGGGAGTGCGCCGTACCAATCACAGCGCAGATATCGTTAGCCAACGAGCGCCCTCTATGGTTGGACAAGTAACTTCTTTGTGTACTCGGCTACTTTTTGCTATCACTTTAAACGTTAACGTCATTTTGTCGTTGTTAATTGTAATATAGATCAATAACCAAAAGTGTTACATTGTCGTTCTTCTAAAACGAAATCTAGTATTTAATATAAATGGGGAATAATCTTTTCTCCTATAATTGAAACGTTATATTGTATTGTCATGAAACATTATTTTCTATTTATTTCATACTGTTGCTTAGGCTCATACGACATTTTACTTTTATTTAAGTACATTCAATGTCGCTCGAATGAAGCGTATGGTAACATTCGTATTCTATAACTTTTTATGTATTTTCAAATACAAGATAAATATTCATGTGTTCGGTTTTAAGTAGGCCACCTTGGATACGTCAGTATTGCAAATTGTTGTAATAAGTCAGTCAATAGGTCGACAACGTTTAAAAACTTCAGGAAATTGTATTTCCTTCTCAAAATTTTGCATTCAATTAATTGTTGGTTGTTTTTGATTTTGGGAAAGTATTTGCAAGGAATATCATAAGGAATTATATTTCAAAACATTATATTTAACATTTCAAGTTTCTGGTCTCTTGATTTTTGATATATTGGTGAATGAGTACCGGACGGATGGTCCTTTCCTCCTGAAATAAAGGTGTTGGGGGTTGTGTAATGAGTGGGGGGGGAGATGCGCGTGGGGTGCGCTAAATTGGTGGTTTAGGTGAGTCGGATGGGGGGGGGGGGCTGGGAGAGTTTTAGGCTATGGACATTTTGGGTCTTTTGTACTTGTATGGGTGGGACGGGCTATAATTTATGGCTGAGTGAGGGTCGAGTTTAGGTGGTTATGAATTGATTGGAATGTGTTTTTCGTTAGTTTTTTTATGTAAGAAGCTATTAGTGGGATTTTGGAGGTCTTTGTGTATAGATGCGTTGCTGACGTACCAAGGTGCCTGTGTGATTAGTCTGAGGGTTCGGTTTTGCAGTTTCTGTAGGGAGTCTGTTACGTGGCTAAAGGCTAGGGATGTTCGATTCCGATACGATTTTTAGAATCGATTCTTTTGCTGAAAGAATCGATTGTTTACTATTCGATTTTCTTGAGAAGCGATTCTTTACCCTCAGAATCAAGAAACCGATTCTTTTTATCTGAAACAGTAGATGGGAGACGCTTTGCTTATTGGTTGCTGTTTGTCATCACGACAAGATTGGGTATTGAAACTCAGCGTCGTGACGCACTTCCGTTGTAACTGACTACCCGACTTTCAACTTTCAAACCTCATTTACTCTGTCGACCATCTCGGCCGGAAATATCGGTCAAAGGGAAAGCTAGAGAAGACGTATAATTGCTATATAAACGACTAATAATTGTTTAGTTTTTTTATACAACATTCATTTCATTTTCATGGATGGCTTTCGACACCTAAAAATTTATTAATTAAATTTGTGTTTATTATGTATAAAAAATTTCCGATTTCTTTGGATTCCGTTTTTTAAGAGAATCGATTCTTCATGATCCGATTCAGAATCGATTCAAGAATTGATTCTTTTAAGAGAATCGACATCCCTAGTTTGGGGGTCGTCATCTTGAGATTCGTTGCTGTATTCAGAGTCGGACGAGGATTCCTTGCAATTGGTAATCGGGGATTGTGGAGGGTCTTCTTGCATGGGTGTAGGAGAGTTGTTTTCGTATTTTTGGAGGAGTTTTAGGTGGGTGTTGTACTGTTGGTGAAAAGGTGATGAGCTAAGGGACTTTTCTATTTGTGATCGAAGGTCACTGTCCATGTTTTTTTTTGTGTGAAGAGAGTGTTTTCGGTAGGGTAGGTTAGGCTAAGTTACCGATAGCAAGAAATAATCGAGTTTAGGAATATGCATCCTAACCATGGGTAGTACGCCGCACCAATCAGAGAGCGGCATTTCCTCAGCTGCAGTTCCCTGCACTGTGATTGGTGCGGCGCACTCCCCTACGTTCTCCATAAATAGGGACTCTTGACTCTTGACTCTTGACTCTTGACTTTTGAAATTTTGGCCAAGGAATATTGGACTTGCGTCCTTTCCTCCTGCAATCATTGAGTTCGGGGGTTGTTGTAGTGGGTGTGTGTTAGGGGGGGGGG